CTCTTCCATGGGCACCAGGTAAGGCTCAATTTATCTTATTTATGACTGACTATTTTTCTAAGTGGGTTGAAGCACATGCGTATGAGAAGGTCAAGGAGAAGGAAGTCATCGACTTCATTTGGGACCACATCATATGTCAGTTGAGGATACCGTCCGAAATTGTATGTGACAACGGAAAATAGTTTATCGGCAGCAAAATGACAAAATTTCTCGAAGATCATAAGATCAAAATGATCTTATCTGTTCACCTAGTGGGAACAGACAAGCTGAATCAATCAATAAAACCTTAAGAAAAGGTTGACCGACGCTAAGGGAAAATGGAAAGAGATCATGCCCGAAGTTCTTTGGGCATATCGCACAACTTTTAAGTCCAGCATCAGGGCTACCCATTCTCATTGATTTATGGCGTCGATGCTTTAATACCGATCGAAGTCTGGGAAACAAGTATCAGATTACGATATGCAACAAAGGAATCAAATGATGAGGCCATGAATACGAGCTTGGAGATATTGGATGAAAGGAGGGAATCTGTCCTTGTTCGATTGGCCGCCCAAAAGCAATGGATCGATAGGTATTACAATCCAAGGGCCAACCTTCAATACTTCAATATCGGGGACTTAGTACTAAGGAAGGTCATACTAGGCACCCGGAATCCGAACAAAGGGAATTAGGTCCGAACTAAGGTTCCACTACAATCATCCTCGAATACTGGGGGGATTACCCTTGGATATCGACTTTTGCGAGGAAATTACTTCGTAATAGAAGGGTATCGATAGGTAGGATTTGTTGTAAGGGCCAAATGCGAACGAACCATTCCCACATAGGTTGCTCGAGCCCTGGCATAAAATATGTACACATGTATAACTATTTTTCACAAGAATAAAGAGAAGTACTTTCCTTGCAATTTTCTTATGTTTTAAAAGTTTCCCCTTTACATCCCTTAAAAGATTTCGTACTTCCGATATCCTAAAGGTAATGAGCCCAAGAGCCGCTTATAACGAAAGTTCGAATGGTCACTCCCTCACTCGGGGACTACCGTCCAAAAACAAACTCGAACAGATTGAGCTATTAAAACATCAGGGTCGTAAGACCTATTAGGCAAATCCCAAATTTTAGAGGCTACGACTGTACCCACTCGTCTTAGGTAAATCTAGATAACTCGGGAAATCAAACCTACTAGGCGATACCTGAACTAAAAGGCTATGGTCATATTGACACAGTTCAGAGACGTCCGAAACTATTAACAAAAACAAGGCCTTCGAAAAATAATTTTTTTATATAACTTGTTCCAAGGGCTACCGTCGGCGAACTACGATCTTGGCTATTTACTTTGTGAAAAAGGTTTCTGGTAACACCAAACCCCCAATACGCCTTAAAATAGTGTAATATAAAGGTGAGGTTTGTTTGAACTTTCAAACATAACCTAAGTTATTTTATGCTAAGGTATCCCGACCTTCCTGAATATAAGTATTAAGGAAAAGGGAAAATATGAAAGCCGAAAGGGAAATAAAAGCCTCATATACCAAAAACTTACAACGGCCGAAACTGCCTCAAAAAGATGCAAAAAAAGAAAAAACATATAAAGGCCTAAGTGGCCTTGTCCCCATCAGAGGCGGAATCTTCATCATTGGGATCTTCCCCATCGTCGGACTCACTTAAGCTCTCAGAATCTTCCTCGGGAAGGATACCTTTCGGGCCCTAGCTTCTTCTACTTTGACACTCTCGAGTTTAGGAAGTACTTCAAAGTTCTGAGCATGAAATCTTTTGAAGGATTACCTTCGAGCTCGCCACTTTGCATGCTCCACCATACTCCTAGCTTGAGCTTGGATTGCCTCTATGTCGACCTTGAATTGGGCCACTTTTGCGTCAGCTTCGGTCTTGGCCTTAACCACCTCTGATTTGGCCGCCTCAAGTTCCTTGGCCAAATTCTCTTCATCAGAAATAGACGAGTCCAATTGGGATTGAAGTTCCTCAATTTTCTTGACCTGTATCGACATTTTCTTTTTTGCAGCCCGGAGCTGGGTCTCGGCTGATTCCAGTTGTTCTTGGACAATTTTCTTTTTCGAGGCTAAGATGTCCATATTTTTCTTGAACTCCCAGCTTTGGCTTGTACCGTATCTACCTATGCCTTAAGCTGCCCGATCTGTTCAAGCCTCTACCGAACATGCAGGATTGGATCGTTAGCCACTATGTCCATTTCATCTTCACTATTGTGAAGTACTCGAATTACTTGCTCGGCCATCTCGGTATGCTCCCTCCGAGCCGCTTCTAACTCGACTAGAAACTTCTCACTAAGAAGTTTGTAGGTGTCCCTCTTCTCAGTAAGCACTCCAACCTCGGCCTCGTGATTGGTTAACTCATCCCGATATCAGAGGAAAGTCTCATGGTGCAATACCGAAACCTTCAAACAAGAAAAAAGAGTTATGATTGTTTACAACTTTAAATTCAAAATACATAATGAAAAAGATACTCGAAGTTACCCGATTCAATGCTTGTTGAGCTTCATATAAAAGTCAAGGGTTTTTCCACCTTGTCCATCACGGCGTGATCCTCTTCGGTCACCAAAAACCAAAGGTAGCTAGCGACCCCCGCGGGGGCAGATAAAACCCGGGCATCCTCTAGGATAGAGAAAGATATCGACCGCTTTCGGTCAGGGTCAACGTTCGGAGCCGGGAACTGGTCCACTAACCTTGGGCCCAAAGGAAGACCCACTGGATCCCAGCGATGGTACCTTCTTTGGCGCCGGCAAGTCTCTAAGCTTGTTGATGTCCTCTGAGGTAGCAGACTCTAACCCGTCTAAGAACTTGTGGATATCTCCAGCCCCATGAGGCCCCTCATAAGAACAACTTTCTAGCATGTCGGCCTCATGGACCATGGCATCTGAGAATTGGTGAGACCCTCCAGTAAGGTCGATCGCCCCAAGCACATCTTTCGAGGCACTTTACTCTGCTCGAGGAGTATCCGCCTCACCCTGTCACGACTCGAAATTCCCACTGACGGGATCGTGATGACGCCTACTCTTGAATGCTAGGCAAGCCAATAGATACAATTGTGAGCACGTGATTTTTGCCCTATATATAAATTATTCCCAAAATTCCAAACAAAATGATTTCTTTATTATTTCACAACTTTTGTGAATTTTGGTGTTATTTTTTGGTAATTGTTGCGTTTTATCTGTGCATTTTTATTCATATGAAAAATACAAAAATATACATCTGCATTTAGGATCTAATTTGATATTTTTAGTATAAATGAGGGGTTAATTTGTTTTAGAACAAAATATGAAGAAAACAACAAAAATAGTTCATTTTTGTATTTTTAATTGTATAATTGTGAATTCGCCACGAAATAGCTTTTAAACAATTTTAGGAGTTAATTAGTTTAACTTTGAAGCATATTAGGATTTTATTTTAATTTTTGCATTTTTATAAAATCAGAAAAATAATACAAGAATAATACAAATTGAAATACAAAAATAGATAAAAGAAATGAAGAAATAATTGAAATTTGGCCTTGATAAGGTAACATGAATTGGGCCATTTATTTCACCCAGCCCAAAGAAAATGACCCCGACCAGCCCAATCCCTAGAACCCGGCCTGCCCCCACCCGGTCCAAATGACCCATCTCCAGAGACACCCAAACGACGTCGTTTCACAGCAAATCAATCCCGGCCCTTCATTCTCCATAATCCAACAGCTGTGGTGCTTTTTTGTTGATTTAATAAATATGTCAGAAATATTCCCAAACCCTAAAACATAACTCCCCTTCCTCGTACTAACCCTCCTTTGTAACTCCGCTGGAGCCGTCGCCGCCGGCGAACGTCACCGACGCCGATCACCACCAAATTCACACCCCAACTTCCCTTTCTCTTCCTCTATCCAAATCCACCAGCCCTTTCCTTCGAATCTTACTTGAACCCTTCGAATCTTCGATTGAAGGTTTTCTGGCCATGACGCCACCAGTCCCAAACTCCACCAAATTTACACCCTAGAGCCACCTTAATCTCCTCTACACAACCCCCTTAACCCCGTCCCTCGAATCCCGCCGGAATTGTTCGAATAGCGGTTTTAGTTTTTCTGGCGAAACCCTAATTCCTTCAGATTCTTCCAAATTAGTACCACATGGCCCCCGGGTTTCCCTCATAAAGAATTAATTGTCACTTACATTCAAAAGACACCGGGGGAAAGTCTACTTAAGGTTGAAGACAAATCAGTAAGTTTTCTTCTTCTTTTTCATTTTTTTAGTTTCGTTTCTTATTTGTTTGGTGCATGTTTTAATTGTTTAATTAAAATGAAGTTCAATTGCCGTGTAGTTCCGATTAACAGTTTAGCTTGGCTTCAATTTGTTTCTATTTTGTTATTATTAGTGATAGATGTGTAGGTTAATCCTTAGGTTAGTTTCCATCTTTGCTAACACTGAGTCGATTTCATTTTACTTAGTTTAAATGTTCAGCTAATTGGTTTAATTGTTAAGTAATAGTTTTAATTAGTTCAAACTAATTGGTTTAGTCTAATTTCCTTTTGTAATCTGATTTTTGTCCTTTTAGATTTTTAGTTTAATTCTGTTCCAAACCTGTGTTAAAATTGTTTAGATTAATGTCTTGTTAGTTTAATCAAGTTTCAAGTGTTCTTTAATTCAGTGTTCATTAGTTTGAGGTTCAATCCCTTTTAATTAGTCTCAGTTTAGGTGATTGGTTATAGTTGTTAGAAGTTTAATTAGGGTCAGTAATTTCAGAGGGTTTTCAGGGGTAGTTTACGCATGGAAAAGGGCTGTTTTGTTAAGAATAGTAATTTCAAAACCAAAATAAGGGTAGTATAGGTATTCTAGAGGTAGAAGAACACCCTAGGCCCTTCTAGAAGGGGGCCTTGGTGTAAGTTTTAGTTTTTAAGAAGCAGTAACTTGAGTAACAAGTAAGGAAATGAGGGTGTTAACTTGGGTAATAAGTTAGAAAACAAGGGACTAATAGGCAACTAAAAATCTGAAGCTTCCCCTTAGTTTTGCCTATAAAAGGCAGACTTTATTGCCTTGTTGGAGGAGGTTGGAACCCCAAAAATTTCCCCCAAAACCCTCTCTGCAGATCTGAGCCTAAAATTTGAATTTCGAATCAATGGAAGTTCAAAAATCCTCCTCTAGATTTTAGTTTCGAAAAATCCAGTAGAAAATCCAAAAAAAAACGATAGAAAACTCGAAAAACAATTGTTACATTGCTTTTCCTTAGGCTATTTTGAACTCCAGCACTTAATTCAAGTTTCTAGCTCAATTAGGATCCAAAACTGTTTGAATTCCTTTGTTTCTATTTGGTATTTGAGGTCTGAAGGTAATTTGGGTCAGCTAGGCATTGATTCTGATTAAATCGAATTGACTATGGTGATCTGTTAAGTGTGTGGATATGCTGGGTTCATTTTCTGGTTGTTTGATATAGTTTTGGGTTAATTTGTTGATTCTGCTTGGTCTTCAATTCATTTTTGAACTGCTGAATCCTTTCTGGGCTATTGTACTCGCTCGTTGACTGCTGTCGGGTTATCATTGGTTCCTTGGAACTGTTGCTGCTGCTGATTTCTCTTTTTTCTACTTGATTCACACTTCAGGTACACACAACTTCTAACTCACGTCAGTGTAACCTTGAACTGGAGTTGAAATAAAATGTTCATCAGATTTACGTATGTGGATTACTTTCCGTTGTTCGTAGTTAGATAGATTGGTGCACTTATTCGGTTAGTTGTAGTTTTGTATCACATGAACAATGGATGTAGGGCCTTTATAATTAGGACTGATTTAGTTTGGTTTGGACTGTTCAGACTATTAATGTGTATTGGATTGTTAATGTGTATTATCTTAGTATGACTTTGTTTAGTGGTTAGTTAATGGTCGATATTAGTAATAACATAATTATGAAAGTTGGATTTGGGTCTTAATTTGTAGTTAGTAACTCAATACTTGAATAACAGCAAGTGAAAAAAAACGCGCCAGCATTAGCGTGAATCAATTTAGATTTGTTAGATTACTAGTAGAAAATTGCAATTAACTCAGATTGCTGGACACTTTTCTGTTGTTATGTTAGTGCAGTCTTATTAAGGGTATTAAAATACTTGGTGTTGTTTTGTATTCAAAAGCAATAAATATATCCCATTTTGGAAATAATACACGACATATTAGTATGATGAAAGGCCATTTCATCTCCAGCCCTTATAAATGAAATTAATGCTCATGTTTGCCAATATGTACGCTGTTAAGTAAATGGAATGGTTTGGGTGGTCCACTGATTGTGAAATAATGTGCAATTCGTTTATGTGCTCGTCATGGGCTCAAATTGTTTAGCCCTATCTAGATGAAGCCTGGTTTGTCTTGAACCACTTGTGGAAAGTCTCCTGCTTTACTCATTCAGTTACTGGGCCTGATTGGTTGATATTGAATTATAAGAACTGGGTCCTTTCAACATGGTAATTAATTAGGATTTTCTTTAGAGATAAATAGAAAATCATAGTCACTTTTAGGTTGGCCTTTTAATAAAATAAAATGAGATGAGCCTCGCCGAACAAAGATACAAATGCGGGGCCCTCAATAGTGTTATGTGAAAGTTAATTAGAATTCGGGATGACCGTTTAGCGAATTTCACGGTTTTCCCCAAATAATAATATGCTAGACTCTTTAAGCACGACTTTAATAAAATTACATTCTTAAATACGGGTTCACATTTATGTGACCCAAATCCAAATCTCAACGGAGTTGAAATGTGTCAACAACCACGGGTGCATTGATGTGACGTGGTTCGAGACACGTTTTCACGACGTTGCAATTCTCATAATAATAATAATAATAATAAAAGCGGTTCAAAATTAAAAAGCCCATAAGCAAGAACATGTTTTGAATCAGATAAAATCAAATACAATAGTTGAGCGACCGAGCTAGAACCACGGAACCCGGGAATGCCTAATACCTTCTCCCAGGTTAACAGAATTCCTTACTCAGATTTCTGGTTCGCGGACTGTTAATCGAGTCATAATTTCCTCGGTTCAGGATTCAACCGGTGACTTGGGACACCATTAATCTCCCAAGTGGCGACTCTGCATATTAATAAATAAATCCCGTTCCGATTGTCCTTTAATTGGAAAAACTTCTTTATGCCCTTGCGGGCATAGGTGAAAAAGGAGGTGTGACAACAATTCCAACACGCTAGCCATTAACCCAAACAATATTAAATGATAATTAAAGCTAAACATGTATGAAATGCGGAAATTTATAGCAGTTCAAAACACTAAAACAAGGCTACCCCAATGATCTGGTGTCACAATCCACGAACATCTAAAAATTTCTACAAATACTCATTTAAGGAAAATACATCTATTTTTCGGAATGAAAGAAAAGGAACTAAGATAGAGGGAAGGGGACTCAAGGGTCTGCGAATGCCGATAGATCTACCTTGGCTCTCCTGTGGACTGAATGCAACAACCTCGAACTCTAATTAGTATGGACCAGTACCAGGATCTGCACAGAAAGTACAAAGTGCAGTATCAGTACAACTAACCCCATGTACTGGTAAGTATCGAGCCTAACCTCAGCGAAGTAGTGACGAGGCTAGGACATGACAGACAACATAAACCTGTGCAGTTAATTAATATACTAACAGGATAACAAGTAATAAAAGCTAAGCAGAAATGAACGGGAAAGGGCAACATGCTATGGGGGTTCCAACATAAAGAATCACAACAATAAAGGAATTTAAACAACTAAAACACTTTGAACCGATAATAACAATAAGCACAGCAAACAGAAAATGCACGGCATCACCCTTCGTGCTTTTACTCTCAATCCTCACCATGCAATCAATAATAGAAACGTGCACGATATTACCCTTCGTGCTTTATCACTCTTCCTCACCATATGCATAATATAAATGTGCACGACATCACCCTTCGTGCTTTATCACTTTTCCTCACCATAACAAACGACAAAAACAATAATAACCCGGTAAGGGCATCACAATCAAGCAACTCCGTTTCATCATTTAATTCCACAATAGAAATCTCAACTTGAGCCAATACTCAACCAATCTCCAAACCAGGAAAAACATAATAATACTGGTTAACATGGGCAATAACTAGTTTAAGCAGGAATAATACTAATAAAGAAACACAACGATCACAATTATAGGACTCACTCACATGCTATGACCCGACAAAAATGTATAGATACTTTTTACCACACCTATACATCGTACTCAACAACTAACAAGTAGCAAATATGTCAAACAATACTTAATGCCTCAAGCTAAGGTTATCCATAACACTTACCTCGATTCCACGACCAAACTCAAGCCTCAACCATTTTTCCTTGGTTTCCACTTCCAATCCACTCGTATCTATGCATAATTAACTTATTAACATCAATTAACGGCAAAGAAACCATTTCTAATGCATGATTATATATTTCCCAGCATTTTTCTCAAAAAGTCAAAAATTGACCCAGGCCTGCTTGGACAAAACTCGAAGTTCGGACCAAAACCCGATTATCCATTCACCCGCAAGCCCGGATAAACAATTGGTTTTGAAATCTGACCTCAATTTGAGGTCTAAATCTCGAAATTGCGAAATTCCTAAATTCCACCCAAAACACCCAATTTTCCATGAAAATCCCTAGATTTTGTGATGAAATCTTGTAAAAAGATGAAATAGATTGAAAGAAATGAGTTATAAATCATTTTCCTTCGATTTGGGGAAGAACTACTCTCTAAAAAATCACCTCTTGAAGCTTAGGGTTTAAAATTTTGAGAAATGAATTGAAAATCCCGTCTAAGTTATGTTTTGAGCAGTTACAGATGTCACATTTGAGACCAGATCTTCGCAATTGTGAAGCTCGCAAATGCGAGACAAGTATCGCAAATGCAAACCTATCACATTTCTGCTACTGTAGCAAATGTGAACCTTTGGTCGCAATTGCGATGATTACCCCCCTCCGTGACTACATCGCAAATGCAAAGATATGTTCGTAATTGAGAACTATACTGGTCCAGGTCTTCTTCACAATTGCAATAAAGACCTCGCAATTTCCAAGACTGTGAAGCTCGCAAATGCGAAGCCTGATCTCGCAATTGCGAGATTAGAGGCCTGCTACAGGTATCAGCTGCAACAGTAGATTTTCTAAGTTCAAACTCACTCCGTAGTCTTTCCAAAACTCATCCGATCCCTCGAGGCTTCAAACCTAACATGCACACAAGTCTAAAAATATCATACGGACTTGCTCGTACTATCAAATCACCAAAATAACATCTTAAACAATGAATTTAACACCAAACTCATGATTTTCTTAAGAATACTTGAAATTTCTATTATCAAAACCGGACGTCCAAATCACGTCAAATCAGTTCCATTTCTAACCAAATTTCATATACACGACTTAAATACCATATTAAACCTGTATCGGGCTCCGAAACCAAAATACGAGCCCGATACTAATGAGTTCGCACACTATTCGATTTCTAAAAATCCTTATATTTTTCAGCAAATAATTTTCTTCAAAAATTTATTTCTCGAGCTAGGGACCTCGGAATTCAATTTTGAGCATACGCCCAAGTCCCATATTTTACTACAGACCATACGAGATCGTTAAATCATGGATCCGGTTCTGTTTACCAAAAATATTGACCGAAGTCAACTTTCGCAAATCAAGAAGAAAGAAAATGAGGTTTTCAAGGCCTTGAACCCGGATTCAGATTCTAAAACAAAAGATGAACCTTTGGGTCATCACATTCTCTATCTCTAAAATAACCGTTCATCCTCGAACGGACATAGAAAAGTACCTGAGTCGATGAAAAGATGGGGATATCTGCTCCACATAGCGGACTCGGATTCTTAGGTAGCTACCTCGACACGCTGACTTCTCTACTGAACACGAACCGAAGGATAACTCTTCGATCTCAACTGACAAAACTGCCAGTCTAAAATAGCTATCGGCTCCTCCTCATAGGTCAAATCCTTGTCCAGCTGGACAATGCTAAAGTCTAACACGTGGGATAGATCGCCGTGATACTTCTGAAGCATGGACACATGAAACAATGGATGCACAACTGATAAACCCGGCGGCAACGCAAGTCTGTAAGCCACCTCTCCCTCTCGATCAAGGATCTCAAAAGGTCCAATGAACCTAGGGCTTAGCTTGCCGTTCTTCCCAAATCTCAACACACCCTTCATGGGCGACACTCGAAGCAATGCTCGCTCTCCAACCATGAATGCCACATCTTGAACCTTACGGTCTGTGTACCTCTTTTGCCTGGACTGAGCTGTACAAAGCCTATCCTGAATGATCTTAACCTTGTCCAAGGCATCCTACACCAAATCTGTACCCAACAACCGATCCTCCCCCGGTTCAAACCACTCAACTGACGATTGACACCGTCTACCATATAAAGCACTACAAAAAATAGCAATTAGCGACGGAATTTAGTGACAACTTTTGTTCCGTCGCTGATTAGCGACGGATTGGTTACAGAATAAAAGTTTCATTGCGAAAAAAATCCAAAAATAGTTAGTATCTAATATAGCAACGGAATAGAGACAAAATCGAAAATTTGTCACTAATTGTTGGCGGTGAATATTGGCGCCCTCAATTTACCTACGGATTTAGCGACAAAAGTTGAGTGACAAAATTTATCAAAACTACAGCGATGGATTTAGCAACCGAAAATCCGTCTCTAGCCTTAATTTCTTTATCAAAATATTTTAAAACTCCTTGCTACGGAAATTTCCGTCGATAATGTATTTTTTAATAAATAATAATGTTATTGTAGCGACGGAACCCTATCCGTCGCTAAATCCGTCGTTGAAGACCACTTTATTATTTTTCCTAGGGCAAAAATTTGGTAAAATATCTGTCTCTTCTAAAACAGTAGAAACACATGAGAGAGCAAATTGAGGCGGCTGAGAGCAAAATCGAAGACACACGATGAGGGTTTTCAAGAACAAGAGCAAAAATCAGTAGCCAACGTGAATCTAAGGTTTATAGATGACTTTGTTTCTTCTTCAATAAACTTAGCACTAATCTTTTGTTATCATTTGTGATAAAAATCAGATTTATTTGAAACTGGTATCTCTTTGGGAGATTTATTTATATAGCTTTGCAAAATTTGTGTTTTGGGACTTTTTTGTTGAATCGATTTCATGTCTTTGATTGTTACCTTACGAAACTTTATAAGAATCAGATTTTGAGTTATTCTTGACTTTAGAGGTGATAAAATCAAAACTTCAAGGGAACATTAGTATTTTGTTGGAATTTTATATTACAGTTATTAGAGTATTGTAGCTTAGCAAATATTATATTTTCGATTTTTTTGTTGGACAAATTTTTGTCATCTGATATGGTTTCAGCCCTTTGATTGTTTCTTTATATCATGAAAGCTTATAACAATCATATTTCTATGTCAATTTTGACCCAGAAATGGCTCTATAGACCGCCATCTTCTTGGATTGTAAACGTTTGGAGAATTTTTTGGTATATTCATTTGGTAGTTTAATTAATCTTCTTCTGCTTATTTTCTTAATTGTTTGTCCAGATCTACAAAAACTTTCTTCACATAGCTTTAGACAAATTTTGTATTAAAAATTTAATTTATATTTTTTGTTTTATAGGGTGTTTTTACCCCTTTTGATGATATGTTAAGCTTTGTTTCTTCTTAATTAACATTGTCATCGCTTGTACGGATAGCTAAATCAAGTTCAAGTAACTTTCTCTACTCTTTCTATCTCTCCCTCTCTTTCTCTGTGTATGTGTTTCTCTATCTCTATCTAGAGCTTTATTTGACATCAAATATTTTTTTATATTGATTGTTGATTAGTAACTTCAAATGGTTGTTTGAACAGATGTATTTTTGGGATTTTTTGGTTCAGCTCAATAGGTCTCAGATGCTTGCATAGCTTAGATTGATATTTACCATGAATTATATCTATGTCATTGCATAACTTATCATTTCTTTCAATAAAAATGTGAATGACTTGTACTATTTAATATGGATTTTAGGCATTTCAAATATTGGNCTAAAATACTCCCATATTCTGCTTACCTATATTAGTCTTTCTAAAATACTGTTTTAATCTGTATATACCATTACTTAGGCGCTCATTTTTTTAAGCTTAGCTTTTAATATCCTTCCTTCTTTTTCTCTTACCCAGTGTAAGAACTTTGAGCGTTTGTCTAGTGAAATTTTAGTAGTTTTGAATTGTGAGCTTGTTATTATTGTGACCATTTAAGCACTTCAAACTCTACATCCTAGCATGCAAGTTCAATAATCTTAGCTTAAATTTCTACATAACCAACTTTATGTGCTTGTTTTCTCTTTTACATATTAATCACATGCTTTACACTTCCTTTTAGACATTAAGAACCTTTGCTTTCTCAATGTCATTCTGGTGAAACAATCTTTGTTAACATGTCAGCATATGTGTTTTCTTATCATTCTCTTAACTTGAATGGTTTGAAGGATCACTAGATTTTCCATATTGAGTTTAATTCTAGTTTCTTGTATGCTTTGTTTGTTTCGTGCAAATTTTTTGTACTTTTCTCTTTTATTATCGTTGTGAATTATTTGATTCAAGTCCATTTGCTTTAAATTTCTTCTGGGATCATGTCATCTTCTACTATAGTAATATCTTCATCCTTTTAAAAATAAATTATTTTTTGTATAGGCTATTGAAAAAAGTCGAGACCCAACACCAAGTGAGATACATTTGCACGTCCATACACATGGGCATGATGAAAAATCTTTTCTTGATGAGAAAGCTCGAATCGTGCATGTAAGTCCAATAAATTATAATCTTATTTACTACAATGTAAAAAGAGTATGAAAAGTATCCTCTTTGTTGGTTAATTAAATGCTCAACATCTTGACTATTTTAATTTCATTACTAATTAAACCTCTTTTACAGGAAAGGTATCAGGAAATATTGCAGGAACAAACACAAACTCAATCTGATATTGATCAATGTAAAGCATTGGATCTCAAGCAAAATGCTACTATGGATCGAATCTTGAACTTTAGTGTTGGTGTTAGGAATAATTCGAACTTAATTGTATTAGCTATATGGATTTTGATATCATTTTTGACCTTGAAGTATGTTAATTTATATGAATTTTGGTTATTATTAAGGATATCTAATACTTTACATACAAAGTGCATGAGCAGAGAAAGTTTAAAATGTTAAATACAAAAATCTAAAATTGAAAAATATTGCAACAGATATGTTTTGTAACAAAAAGTAACCCAAACAGTAACCCAACAGATACAATTCCAACACACTAGTCATTAACCCAAACAGTACTAAATGATAATTAAAGCTAAACATGAATGAAATGCGGAAATTTATAACAGTTCAAAACACAAAAACAAGGCTACTCCAATGATCTGGTGTCACAATCCACGAACATTTACAAATTTCTACAATTACTGGTTTAAAGGAAAATACATCTGTTTTTCGGAATGAAAGGAAACGGGAACTAAGATAGAGGGAAGGGGACTCCAGGATCTATGAACGCCGGCAGATCTACCTTGGGTATCCTGTGGACTGAAGGCAGCAACCTCGAACTCTAATCAGTATGGTCCAGTACCGGGATCTGCATAGAAAGTGCAGAGTGCAGTATCAGTACAACCGACCCCATGTATTGGTAAGTGCCGAGCCTAACCTCGGCAAAGTAGTGACGAGGCTAGGACACAACAAAGAACATAAACCGGTGAAGTTAATCAATATACTAACAGGATAACAAGTGAAAAGCTAAGAAGAAATGAACGGGAAGGGGCAACATGCTATGGGGATTCCAACATAAAGAATCACAGCAGTAAAGGAATTTAAGCAGCTAAAACACTTTGAACCGATAATAACAATAAGCACAGCAAACAGAAAATGCACGCCAACACCCTTCATGCTTTTACTCTCAATCCTCACCATGCAATCAATAATAGAAACGTGCACGGCATCACCCTTCGTGCTTTATAGCTCTTCCTCACCATATGAATAATAGAAATGTGCACGACATCACCCTTCGTGCTTTATCACTCTTCCTAAACATATGCATAATATAAATGTGCACGACACCACCCTTTGTGCTTTATCACTCTTCCGTACCATAACAAATAACAGAAACAATAACAACCCGGCAAGGGCATCATAATCAAACAACTTCGTTTCATCATTTAATTCCACAATCGAAATCTCAACTTGAGCCAATACTCAACCAATGTACAAACTAGGAAAAACATAATAAGACTTGTTAACTTGAGTAATAACTAGTTTAATAGGAATATTACTTATAAAGAAATACAATGGTTACAATTATAGGACTCACTCACATGCTATGACCCGACAATAACATATAGATACTCGTTACCATACCTAAACGTCGTACTCAACAACTAACAAGTAGAAAATAAGGCAAACAATACCTAATCCCTCAATCTAGGTTAGCCACAACACTTACCTCGATTCCACGGCCAAACTCAAACCTCAAATACCACTTTTCCCTTAGTTTCCATTTCCAATCCACTCGTATCTATGCATAATTAACTTATTAACATCAATTAATGCCAAAGAAACCAATTCTAATGCATGATTATAGATTCCCAACATTTTTCCCAAAAAATCAAAAACCGACCCCATGCCCGCTTGGTCAAAACTCAAAGTTCGGACCAAAACCTGATTACCCATTCACCCCCGAGCCCGGATATACAATTCTTTTTGGAATCCGACCTCAATTTGAGGTCTAAATCCCCAAATTTTAAAATTACTAAATTCTACCCAAAATACCCAATTTCCCATGAAAATCCCTAGATTTTGTGATGAAATCTTGTAAAAAGATGAAATAGATTGAAAGAAATGAGTTAGAAATCGTTTACCTATGGTTTGGGGAAGAACTACTCTCTAGAAAATCGCATCTTGAATCTTAGGATTTGAAAATTTGAGAAATGAATTGAAAATCCCGTCTAAGTTATGTTTTGAGCAGTTGTCGATGTCGCATTTGTGACCAGAGCTTCGCAATTGTCAAGCTCGCAAATGCGAGACAGGCATCGCAAATGTGAACCTGTCGCATTTCTGCTACTGTCGCAAATGCGAGCCTTTGGTCGCAATTGCGATGATTCCCCCCTCCCTGACTACTTCGCAAATGCGAAGATATGTTTGCAATTTCGAACTATGCTGGCCCAAGTCTTCTTCGCAATTACGATAAAGACCTTGAAATTTCCAAGATTGTGAAGCTCGCAAATGCAAAGCCTGATCTCACAATTGCGAGATCAGAAGCCTGCTACAGGTATCAGCTGCAAAGACAAATTTTCTAAAATCAAACTCACTCCGTAGCCTATCCAAAACTCACCCGAGCCTTCGGAGCTCCAAACCAAACATGCACAAAAGTCTAAAAATATCATACAAACTTGCTAGTGTGATCAAATCGCCAAAATAACATCTTAAACAACGAATTTAACACCAAACTCATGATTTTCTTAAGAATACTTGAAATTTCTATTTTCACAACCGGACGTCCAAATCAAGTCAAATCAGTCCCGTTTCTCACCAAATTTCACAGAAACGATTTAAATACCTTATTAAACCTGTAACGGGCTCCGAAACCAAAATACGAGCCCGATATCAACGAGATCGCACACTATTCCATTTCTAAAAATCCTTATATTTTTCAGCAAATAATTTTTTTCAAAAATTCATTTCACGGGCTAAGGATCTCGGAATTCAATTCCGAGCATACGCCCAAGTCCCATATTTTACTATGGACCCTACGGGATCATCAAATCACAGGTCCGGTTCCATTTACCAAAAATATTAGCCGATGTCAACTTTAATCAATTTTAAAGGAAAAATTCAATATTTTTCTCAAATTTCACATAAAGGCTTTCCGAAAATATGCCCGAACTATGCACACAAATCAAGGAGAAAGAAAATGAGGGTTTTGAGGCCTCAGAACCCTGATTCCGATTCTAAAACAAAAGATAACACTTTGGATCATCACATACCCCCTTCTGGTTCGGGAGCTTTGGCTAAGACTCCTTCATTGACCTCCTCATGTTTGGATGGTACGATTTTGGCATCCGCCAGTTCGGAGGGCCCTTGTATCATAACACTGCCCGAACACAGCCACCGGCTTGAATTTCTCTTCTTCTTCTTTGGACTTGTCCCTTAGTCGGTGGATTAAGTTCGAGGATAGAGCGCTGGTGCTTCCCTTGGGCTTGCGCGACCTCTTCTTCTATTTCTTCTTCTCCGAGTTCAGAGAACTCGGGGCCATTTTTCTCTTCTTCTCATCACCCTACCTTGGAGCAGGGGACTCGAAAGGCACATCCTTATCACCGGATAAAGGCCTCATGGAAACACCTTCGGGAAGACCTACGAAAAAAACAGAACCGATAAGAATTTGACTGCACAAGGAGGAAATTAAACATTATTACATCAAAAGAGAAAACTTACCATGATTATGGGCCTCCCAATGACCCTTCGACAATTTGTGCCATGCGCGCTCGGAATATGGTCTCTGTGACACCATTCCCTCGACCCACTCTTTGAGTTGTGGAATCGCATCCAGCATCCGAGACACAGCTTTACCACAAAAAACACCAATAAGAAGGAAGAAAAGGGAAGAAACAATAAATAAAGTCTTTAAGGAGAAGCTATACTTATGCTTCATGTTTCATTTCTTGGGAATTGGCATATCCTCGGCAGGGATCAAGTCTGAGGTCCTCACTCGAACAACTCAGCCCATCCAGCCTTGGTCCCAGTCCTCATCTATACTTCTTGGTGGTCTAGAGATCAAGTTTGATCAACCCCTCTCGATATAGTCGGGGACTGTACAGGCGCATAAGATGATCGAGGGTGAAGTAACATCCCTCGATTTTGCTTACAAAAAAATGAAAAAAGATCACTATCCTCCAGAATGAGGGGTGAATTTGACCGAGTGTCACTTCGTACCTCTTGCAGAAGGTAGTAATGATTGGGTCTAAGGGACCCAATGTGAAGGGGTTAAGTATAAACACTTAAAAAACCCTCCACATGGGTAGTGATTGATTCCTCAGGCGAGGGCACCACCATGTGTTTATCGGTCTAGTTACAATCCTCTTTGATTTTAGGGAGGAAATCCTCAGTGATAGTACATATATATCTCGAGACCGGCTTGCATCAACCTGGTACTGAGGAAGATCTTAAAATCAGCATCGATCGGGCACCCTCCTAGAACGAACTCTTCAGAGGGTGGCCCCGCCGTAGTCCCATCGCCGGCGACCCACGATGAAGAGGCTTTTTCTTTTTGTGGAACAGTTTTAGAAGTTTTGGCCTTTTTTCTGTTTTCTTTGAATAAAGGAGAACGAAAGAAAGTTAAGAGGGAGTACTTAGTATTTAAAGATAAAGACAAGTGAAGGCTCTTGCAAAAATCTCAGGTACAAATGCAAAGGTTTTTCAAGATGAGAATGGCTAAGAAAGGCAAAGATCTTTGAAAGTGAAAATGGAAATGATTTGAAAGTAAAACACGAACAAGTGAAGAAGAGGGGAATATTTATAGGTTTCAAATGGCGGTTCAAATCCGATAATGGCCGACCATTGACTGACACGCATTTAATGGCTTGAAGAGTACACCGACGAGACATTTTAGTTGCTTTTTATCGCTTACGTCATGACTTATCGAAGTAGAAATCGAGGTATTATATCATTTCTTGTCACCTACTCTCCAAAAAACTAGGGGACTATCTGTATACGGTCAAAACCGGGTTTGTCCATTGTTTGACCAATCGAGGCTAAAGTATGGCAGATCAAAGTTCGAGTTCGGGTTATAACGAACTATGGTGCAAAATTTGATCGACGAGCTGGTGACCCAGAGACTGATCAAGATTGAGATCGAGCAAGATCGAGACAAAGCAAGATCAAGACCGATCAAGATCGAGGGAAACTTACCGAGTCAAATAACGGAAAACCGAAATATCCGCAATCGGTCGAGGACTACGGCGGAAATCCCAGCGCATATCAAGAAGGGACCGATTGATTAGCAAATCATGATATTTTTTTACCTTATATAGAAATGTACCAAAAGTAGAACATCC